CCGGAGACGATCGTAGTTAAACTTCCGTTAGTTTCTTCCTCATGTAGAATCGCCCTCGTGCAAACCTTATGCACGAAACTCGAACGCAGCAAACTTCAGCATTCAACACGACCGCTCCATTGCTCATCGTCGTCGCCAGCGGCTGTCACTAACTTTGAATTTCTTTGTTTCTTTCGTGCTTTCCTTCTTCCCTACCTTCTTCTCTGCCTTTCCTTTCCAACTAGAGTGTCGTCATGGGCGTCAAAGCGCAGCTTCATGGTAGGCTAAGGATTTTTCAGCTAAAGTTAGAAAGGGCCCCTTTCGCTACCAATTTCATCCTAGGAGTTCAAAACTGTCAATTTTCGTGTAATAGATCCATTTCGGAGCTCTAAGACTGTTCTTGTGTTGATAGGAGCCTTCACTCCATTCATCTCCAGTGCTGCGCTTTGACACCCCATCCGCCATTTCTCCGCTGTTTGTCATACCCAACTCTTTTTGCACACCGTCGTGTCCACGAAGTCATGCTCTTTCGAATGAGCCTACATGCGTGCTCTAGAGTGACTGCCGGCTGAGTTACAAGCCTGCAAAGCGGTGCAAGTCAGTGGTGAGGCGCAGGTGGGGTTATGTGCACGCACTGTCAAGAGCCATTTTTGACAAAAAAACTCTCCAGCACACGTCCGATGCATAGAAGATAACAAAGAACATCCATTTTATCCGAATAGCTTCGTTTGGATGTCTTGAATGGGTTTCCATGTAAAGAAATTTGGCTTGAAGCAGGGAATTGGAAGTTATTTTTTGAAAAGAAGCAAAATAAAATCCAAGCTTGAGTTTTTTGAAAGTAATCGCTACCATATTATTGTCCTCGATGAGTTCTACAATATACTATGCTTACCTGTCCGGAAAACTTCTGTTTTTGCCCCAAGAAAAGACCTAAAAGAAAATTTTCGCGTTCGAAGAATTAATGTCCGCGAAATTGTGAGGCGTCCATTTTCGGACTTTTTTCAAAAAAACATTTTTAAAATTTTTATAATACATGTTTTCCAGAAAGCGCGATGTTTGGGTTGTAGCTCTTGATGAGCTCTATCACCATATGCAATCAGATCATTTTTTCATCTTTGTTTTCCATCTGGAAATGAGCGATGAAAAAAGGAGGGCGGCTTGTCCGCAACTTTTTGGCGGTCACTGTATATCATTGTATACTACAAGCCTTATTCAGTATAAACTCAAAGTTTCACCTCTGCATGTGCTCTTATAATCGAGGAATACCATGCTTTACATTAAAAAACCCGAAAAGTGGCATTTTGGCGTTTTGGGATCACCTTTGTTTCTCAATTTTGAGCCCCGAAAAAAAAATCCATCAAATACATTTCGGGGTATTGCTGTATGTCTACTACATAAAGACCAATTTTTAAGTCCGTAGGAATTTTCTGAAAGGAGATCCGAATTTTAGGGTAGCTGAAAAATTTTGATTTTTGGCTCCAAATTTTACTTGGGTTATGAATTAGGTGGATCTTTGGGAGTTTTTGTAGAGCCCCATTTCGAACTATCAGAACCTTTTTACATGAAGTGGCCGTTTGATATATGTATACCACCAGTAGCTGCGGCATAACGTAGAGATTACAACGTGCCTACATTATTTGAAGAAAAAAACCTTTTGAGAAGTCACGAGCGTTTTGTGGACGAAATTTTAACGCACGATCAACAAGACCCTTGAGAACGATCTTCCATATGCATGAGAGTTTTGGGAGATTACTCATTGTAGAAATTACTAATTGTGTCCTCTCAGCACGGTTCTTTAGGCTATTGCTATGTAAGAGGGGAGGTCCCCCTCTCTCCGACGGCTCTTCTGAACTCCAGAGAGCGTTCTCTTCGCGCTTTGGCTGATCACCGTATCTAGCAGTATTTATACCGGCTGCAAGGACAAACCCGCCTCATCTTTCCTGCCACTGAAAATTGGTAGATCGGTGATCCGCGCCATCCAACAAGGCTTTTGACTAGGTTTGGCAACTTTCTCCATAACTTTTCTTTTTTGCACGTGGTACACTCAAACTTTGGAAGTGTTCAGACCATGACGTGTTCTACAAACACAGCAGTTTGTTCCAGATTCTGGTAACCCGTGTAATAGTCGTGTTTAGCATGTAGAATTGCCCTATACTGCAAAGTGTCGGCGAGTTCTGAGATTTTTTCGTGGTTGTTGACGTATGTCAGCATCAACTTTGCGTTCAGCTGCGTTGGCCAACTTCTCAGAGGCGTCAATTCTAGACTTCCAACTTCCCTTCCTACACAGCTTAAAGAGCAGATGTCTAATATATAAAGAAACGTAAACGCAATTCAAAAATCCGCAAAGCGGGACTTTGCGGGAGACCCCGGTGCGGTCCCGAAGCGCGAGAATGCAATCTAGCACCTTCAATTACTGGTTTACTAGTCTGGCAATAATTTTGCAAAAGTTCTGGTCCGATATAATTAGTTTAGGTTGCGGGCGGCTTCATCTTTGCCTGTAATTTAGTTTTCCAATTTTCGGTAGTATCGAGGAAAGGCCTGAGATTTTTGAATTCGCTAATGAAAAAAAAAACAATTTGCGCTCGCTTGTAGTACAGAATGCAATCTACATGATGCCGAAGTTTAAGCGCACCTATCTAAAAAGAGGAAAGTCACGAAGGAAGTTGCAAAACGTAGTTAACACCCTAATAATTTGTGTGATGTGCAGCACTTCATCTATATCGATTATGCAAACTATTCAAATTTTTAATTTGATTGCTTAGCACATCTAAGCCCCTTGTTAACAAGTTCAGGGAGCTTCATCTACAACCTATCTATCATCTCCTATTGGGTAATAGCTGTTGGTTTGGCATGTTATAAACAACATTCACTTTCAGCATCTCCGAAATCACCACGGCCGTTCAACAATTTGAAAATCCGCAGCACACTTTCCTCTCATCTGTGGAAGATGCAAGCATCGAAACACTGGATAGTGTACTTGGGTCCGAATCGAGTAAAATTTTGACCATTCGAATAAAACATACGAATATAGTATATTCGTGTTCGAAATTCGATATTTGGAGTTTGTCCATCTAATTTAAAACTCGAATAATCAAAAAACGGGGTTTCTAATAAAATTCGAAACTCGAAATATCAAAAAACGTTTTCAATAGATTTCATTCAGATGTTTTATTTGGATTCGTATTCGAATGAAATCCGCATTCAAATCATTTGAGCTTGTTGGCGAGTCAACTGCTGAGTATCAAGCTTGTTTTGTTTGTGTTTTTTCCGCAAAAATCGATATGCATCTTTGAGTGAGGGTGCTGATTATAAACACTACTTTATCGATTTTCGTTTTTGGAAAACTTTGAGCTACGGGCTGGGGGTTGCTTCATTGAGGTAAGTAAGGTTGCTGATTAAATAAAAAATCTACTTTAACAATTTTAGACATTTGAAAGATTTCAAGCTACGAGGCTGGAAGTTGTTAGAGGGGGATAAAAAAAAGTGCTGGTTATGTATATAAACTACTAGCTGGCTTACCCGGCTCCGCCGTGTCCGGACCAAACTTGGCACACATACACTTCGGGCCCCGGCGGGTGTCACAGTCCACTTTTCGTTATCGATCGATGTCGATTTTACCGATTTTTATCGATTTTTTGCAGAGTTCACCTACAGGGCTAGGAGTTGGCACAGGGGGGAAGTGAGCATGGGGATTCCGAATACAATATTAGTTTTCAGAATTATCGATTACTTTTATTGATTTTATCGATTTTTTGTAAATTTTGACATGCGAGGCTGGGATTTTGCACAGGGGGGTAATCGAGCATGCTGATTACGAACACAATATTAGTTTTCAAGATCGTCCATTATTTTTATCGACTTTATCGGTTTTTTGAAAATTTGAGCTAGGGGGCTGGAATTTGGCACAGGGGTGTAATCGAGCATGCTGATCACCCCCCTTGGGGATGATCAGCATGCTCGATTACCCCCCCCCCCCTGTGCCAACTCCCAGCCCCCCTAGCTCAAACTTTGCAAAAAAATCGATAAAATCGATAAAAGTAATCGATAATCCCGAAAACCAATATTGTATTCGGAATCCCCATGCTCGATTACCCCCCTGTGCGAACTCCCAGCCCCGTAGCTCAAACTTTGCAAAAAATCGATAAAATCGATAAAAGTAATCGATAATCCTGAAAACCAATATTGTATTCGGAATCCCCATGCTCGATTACCCCCCTGTGCCAACTCCCAGCCCCGTAGGTGAACTCAGCAAAAAAATCGATAAAAATCGATAAAATCGATATCGATCGATGACGAAAAGTAGCCTATGACACCCGCCGGGGCCCGAAATGTATGTGTGCCAAGTTTGGTCCGGATCGGTTCAGAAATAAAAATTTCTATTCGGAACATACGTACATACATACATACATACAGACAGACATACATACATACAAACAGACATTTAGCTTTATATATAAGATTGTATCAATTTTATCTATTTTTGGAAACTTTTGAACGTGCCTGGGAGTTGGTACAGGGATAAAGTGAGGGTGATGATTATGAATGAATCGGATTTAGCTGGGTATATCAGCAAGTTTTAGATATGATTGCTCCACTTAATCGATAGATTATCTGAATATCTATTCGAAATTCGACTCCCGAAGTCCGAATTTAATCGACTTGATTCATTCGATATTTTTGATCCTCCGATTTCATTCGGAATTCATTCATTCAAAAATTCTTAAACTCATTCGCTATCCATTTATTCGGGATTACTTTATTTTGGAATTGCTCGATATTTGTTTAATCAAAATCTTTTTATTTTCGAATTTCTTCGATATTCAATTTCGATGAAAAATTTCGACTTTCCCCAAGTATACTGAATAGCAGTGCTGTGGCGAGTAGTGAACCAACACTTTCGTCCATTAATGTAGAGAGGTACTTTTCTTCAGTATTGAACGATTTTTTTGGCATCTAGGCATGTACTACGCTGCAAGATTGACCGATTAGAAAGTAGAGAACTTTATTTTATATACTCAACATCAATGTGGTGCTGGATTCTGGTACTGAGCGTAGTGAAGCCAATAAGCGACATTGAAAGACACGAAGAGTATTGGAAATAACATTCCTGAAATAAATCTATATTGCAGTCTTTCAAACGTCTTTTGCAACTCAAAAAAGGTTTACTACGAATTATTCACAGATTTTAACAATACTTGACTATACTTGCGACAGCTCAGTAAGTGGAATTGTGCTTATATGGGGCAAGTGTTTGGATGAATAATTGTAATTAAGAATCCTGTGGACTAGATTTTTTTATTTTCTATTCCTTGATCTATCATGTTCTACATGCAAATTTCTTGTATCAAGATTACAAAATTCTCACTTTCTGCATCTGGATCTTTAATGGCATCGTCCACCCAAAATTTCGACCTCCATGTTTTTGCCGTTGCAGGGGGCCTTCTCATACCGTGATAATATCAAGTCGGAAATCCGCGAAAACCCCCATTTTCAGAACCCGCAGAGGGATTTCCTCGGGACGGTGATTGGTTGGAGGCGTACGGATGGGCGGGACGAACGTCACGCCCACTCAAAGGGAAGGAGCCAACGTCGAGAATCTGGTCATTTTTGAAGCAATTTTCTCGCTTCGGGAGCAACTTTTGCCAGCGCGAGTATAAGTATACAGTTGGGACCCACTACTGTTAGGCATCAAAATCTCATCGTTTTGGGTGGACGGTGCCTTTATACTCGAGTAGATTAGTGTCGAAAGTTTTCGTCAACATAACAGAAAGATAGGGAAACAAGTTTTAACTCGTTCAGAGTGCCTATCTCGTACCAGACCACGGCATAGGTCGCTTACCAAGAGCTGGATATCGTTCTTGGGGGAAAAAGCAAATGGGATATCGTTTTTACGGAACGGCATACCGCTGTATTTCGATATGGGGTTTGGGAGAGTACGCTGCCGGCATGCCGGCGGTATGCTCTCCCAAACAGACAAAAAGCTTGTTACAGCGAAGTGAAACTGAAGTGACACCAAGATTGGTGTTTAGATGGGCAATGAGGAGTTAGAGCTATGTATGAAAACTATGAAAAAATTATGTGAACCCGAAAGCGTGCTCAACTTTGAGTTAGGTGGCTTGCAGGTTTTCCAAGTTTTGAATTTGGACAACTATATCTTTCACAGAAGTAGTCATTCCGTCTCCAATAAAGACTACGGCAATCAGCAAACCTTTGGGAATTTAGTACGCACTACTATGTCATTGTAGCTTCACTAATAAAATTTTATAGCCTAAAAATTGCCAAAATTTCTCTTGGAAAACCTTCAGTTTGAGCGGCCATAACTTGCTGTACAATTCAGCAGAATAATACAAATTTCATTTAATGTGTAGACAATAGTTGGTTGTGCAGCAGCGTTAGCTTGAAATTTGCGAATAATTTCTTGCCTGAAAATATCGCAAAAACTTTGTGATCACTCATTTTTATCAACTGCTGTGGAAAGGTAAAAAAACTTTTTTTTGCTGTATTTCAAATTTTCTCGCCGCCAAAGATAGTAACAACTTCCGATTTTTTTGCCATCAAATTTACTATTTTTTGTGCTCACTACGAAAGCTCTGCATTTGCTTCGTACTTAGGATGTTTATACTCCGCAGAATGATTGCAGCGGTTGTTTGGGTTAATACAATTTCTCATTCTGGAAACTTCTAAAAAATCTGCTTTAATTTGCATTTTTAGCAAAGGTCACATGCAAACATTGTGCCAGTTTGCAAAAAATTCCGATTTTTCGCGGTGAATTCAATGCAATGAGTTTGAAAAAAATTCAAAGTTTAGCTTTTGAACTGAAGGCACGTCATTTTGGGATAAATCCACCACTCGAAAGCATGCCTACGAAACTAGAAGAAGAGTGCTTTCAGGTGATATGCATAGTTTTTTGAAACAATGGTATTTCATTCTGAATCAGCACATTGAAAAAGAGGTGCGAAAAATCTGCATTAATTCTGTTACAACCTAATACTTGGAACCAGGGTCAAGAGTGTTGATGCGATCCTAGACCCTCTTCTACGACCCCCCCCCCCCCCCATCCCCCCTGAAGGTACCTATCCGTACGACCCCCTCTTCACCTACCCCCCCCCCCTCCCACCTACCCTCCCACTTTCTTTTGCGGTAACCTGCATAATTGAATGTCAATCTCAAAACTTGCCTGCCAGTGGACCTCATTCAAAATTATGGATCAAAAATAGAAAATTACTTACAAATTGGGAAATAATGCAAGTAATGCTTCGCCATTCGAAAACCAACTCACAAGTAATTGTGCGTAGATTGGGTAAGTAGTAAAATTACAACATTTGGCTATGTTTATTGTCGCTGGGAAAATATGAATGGAAAGGACATTATCTGACAAATCAGAACATCGATTCCAGTCTGAATGATAATTAAGCTTTACTTTAAAATTTACAAATTATTGACGGTCACCGTTGGTAAAGATATGGGATTTTGTGTGTGAGACTTCAGTGGGGCTTCGGAAGCAGAGGTACGTGCAACATTTTTTGGCACGCATACATACCTTCAATAATGTTTGGGTTTCTGCAATTTTTTTTGAATTCTCAAGCATACTTCGGGCCCGCATCGGTCCCCATACGCGACAGCATTTTTTGAAGGGAGAAAAAACGATATATTTGAAGCTAAAATATGTTTTCGACTAAAAGGCTTAATTCTTACCTTTTGCACAGATTTTCGTGCGAAAAAAAACTGTTTTAGCGCCATCCAGAACGATGTCAAAAACGTGCATGAGCACGGTATTTTGAAAATTCGTAACTAAAGGCAGGGAAAGACTGAGAGGCTGCAATAAACAGGCTTTGTAGTATAGTACCCATGCTATCAATGGAAAAAGTTTTAGTCATTGAGTAGCAGTAAGCTTGGAAAAAAACTAGATGCGACTCTCGCAAATTTAGATGCGATCCTAAGAAGTAAAAAGTGGGATTTTTGAGCCTGAAATTTTGTATCATATCGGAGAAGTTATAAAATAGCCTGAAATTCTTATGATAAAAAGAAGAGGGATGGCTTCGTATTACAGCAAGTTTGCAGCTAACAAGCCTTGATAGCTCCGAAGAAATTTAGATGAGGCGCAGATACGACCTCCTTTTCTTATTCTTTGCTACCATACATAAAATCATAAGAAAATCCACAGTTGACAAAATGACACCAAATTTTGCACTGATATAGTAGAGCATCTCCAAAGTATAGATAAATCATAGGGGTCCGTGAAAGATTACAAAAGGATTTAGAAATTCATGATGGTCACAGCTGGTAAAGATATTCGCTTTTGTCGAGTGTGTGAGACTTCAGGAAGGCTTCAGAAGCAAGATTACTAGGGCAATCGGTATATTTGGCATTTTTATCAAATCATACATCCTTCAAAAGTGTTTTGAGCTCTTGTAAGTGCTTTTTGTTTAAGAATTTCTACAGATTTTTTGTCTTGGGAAAGAAAGAAAAACTTGGGCTTGGGAAAGAAAAAGTCATAAACTTCCCTCCCTTGAAAGTTTTTTTACTTTCTTCACATAAATTTCCCCTAAATCCCAAATCCTACAGAGGTCCTTAACCGCCTTAAACCCCCTCATCCCCGTTATGTTACGGCCCCTTAAAAATTCTGAATGGCGGCGGCAACGCCGCTCCAAACGCGTAGTGCTGCGCGCTGGATACACCATGCCGCCAACCGGAGAATATCATCAGTTTGTGTGATGCTTTTTTAACTTTTTTTTGTTTTAAGTGTTCCGTTCCTTCACATGTATTTTCTCTTCTAATATCCCATGGCAAATGTCGTGCCTTCATTGTGAAGTCAAAAAAGACTTCGTTTTATGCAATTTCGGGAAGCCACTCCGTGTCGAGCCCTGGTACTTATACTTTAACTCAGTAAGAATTCTTGAACAAATTCTTTTTTTCCGCTCTCATGAGGTATGGCAACTCACTGGATACCAAATCTGGTCTTTTGGAAGCATCTTTCCAATCTGTCCTTGTTTCGAGCCACCTAAAACACAGATTATTTTGGACATTTTTAAAGTGCTATGAGTTCAATATAGAGAAATTCTCCAATAGCAGTGTTCCAAGGAAACAATGTTTGAAGACAACGATAAATAATTTCCAGAATATTAAATGGGATAGTTGCACGTGTCCTTAGTCCAAACTAATATCTATCTGTACCAGAACAAAAATAATATATTGATTTTTTCTGGATTATAAACGTTTTTTCCAAATGGTATGCTTCTCACTCACAGCCAAAATGACCGCGACGGATTTCTGCGATTCCGTGACTGAAGCACTTTCGTTTTCTCCAACTCCTGATCCATGACGATTCTAGGGACGAGTGCGCCTTCATTAGTTTTCAAAAGAAGCGCTTTCGCAGTCTTGTTTTCACGTTCTGTAAATGTAGCATAACGTATAGGTAATTAATTGATTGTTGAATAAAGCATCACTTTTTGGCTGCGTCCGATTTGCTACGTACGTGACCAACGCGAATTCGAGTAGAGCACAGAATATGAACGTAAGACAAGCTAAAATGTGATAATTCAAGCACGGATTAGAGGATTTTGACAAACTCACCTCCAATCCACACATCAATGGCCTTGATATAGGCTACGGGTGGTAGCTTCGCGTTGATACCCGACGACTAAAAATAGAAGGTTCTGAGCACAGTCAAACTCAAAGTGAGTTTCATTTTGGTATGAGCGCTGATTTCCACTCACAGTCAGTTCAGAGATTGCGCAGGTGATATACAATATGACAGCATTGCCTGCCTTCATTCTTAGAGCTAACAAGGAAAGTCCGGTAACTTAGAATAGCGTTTTGAGATAAGACACATAATTTTGGAACAGCTTCGAACGTTAATTTCAAATATGCTGTTCCTAACTGCGATACGTTATTCTGAAGCGAGTTATCAATTTTTCTATGCAAAATATGCTTAATCTTTGACCTACTGGCATTACGGTATTATTATCTGAGTGCTGATTTACTACGTTAAGTTTCTTGTCAATGACAAAAGACTCAATCTGATACAATTTTAGTATCCCAGCATCGTTTTAAGCCAGATTTCCATCTGAAGGCAGCTCTCATGCTAAATAATATGCCGATTTCATGCAAAAAAAGCTTATAACTTGCTTCAAATACGCAGCAGCTAAGGACAGCCTATTTGGAATCAGCGTTTGAAACTAATTCCAAATACAGCAGTATTTATGGGACAGGTTGACATTTCTGCGATTTGGCCTTCTTCGGAATCTCAACAGATTATGACTCTAATGGATGCAGATCACTTAACTTGTGATGTATAAGTTTCGTATACTACGAGTTAGCGTAATGACATCAAAATGCAAAATAGATGAAAACCCTAATGCATCGCTCAAGACAACAGACCTGCGTAGTCATTGTCAGCAATGTGGTCACCCCTAATGTTACTCGTGCAGGCACAGCTGTTCTGTCAATCCAGAATGATACCCAAGACACGATCACAAGCATACATGAAGGAATATACAATTGCAGGAGGTAGTAGCTAAAAATAGTGATACTATTATCGAGCAACGCATGTTGCGCAAGATTAGATTCTTACCTGAACTGACGCTTCAGCTGAAGAACTGTCCTTAAACAAGAATAAGCTCCCGTATTCGTTTTACTTGTACAATAAGTAGTAGATACGTTGTTTAGATGAAAAGAAGGTAGAGACGAAGATAAACCCTGTTTGAGCTGCACCGGATCTTGTTTCTTCCAAACATATTCTAAAGCAGACAGCAATTTTAGTGCTAGGCTTCAAATATTTCCTTAATTTGCCCCAAAGCTGCAAAACATCAGAATTCTAACCTTACCGCCTGTGTAACCTCAGAATTGATATACGTGAAAACTGTGCCTTTTTATGAGAAAATTAGAGATTCGTTTCGTGAGTATCGGTTGCGACACGGAGTTTTAATGAAAACTTGAACGAAATTCGCTTAGAAGCAGGTTTACGTAGTCTCTTTTTTTCGAACCAGCAACGTCCATGTTTCTGTTCTCAAAACTCCCTAAAGTTTCTATAGTTCTGCTTCCAATTTTGATGTGCGAACTTGTATGGGAAGCAGTGGCGTACCCAGGATTTCCGCTCGGGGGGGGGGGGGCGCGACAAAAAATTTTTTCGAATGAAGGTGCGTGGCGTCAGCCACGCACTCCGAAAAAATTTTAGGGGTACTTCTCAAAATTTTTGCGGATCTCCAACCTCTAAATTCTGGAAAAAGGGGGCGTGGCGTCAGCCACGCCCCCGAAAAAAATTTTTTTACAAGGCTAATTTGAATTTTTAAAAATTTTTAAAAATTATTTTAATTATTTACAAATATAAACAAGTCCTTTGCACATTTTTATAACCCATATAAGTAACTTTCAAAAATTTCGCGACCCATTCTCGGGGGGGGGGGCGCGCGCCCCCCCCCCCCGCCCCCCCCCCTCGGTACGCCACTGATGGGAAGGATACCAGATGGCCGTGGACTTTCGAGACGTTATACCAGCATAAGTCTCTCGGTACGCTGAACTCAAGTCTGTGTTTGGTTTCTGCTGTGCGTTCTTGGGTGGAGAGTTATGAGAGCATTTTCGCCCCAATCGCTCGGACCGACGATAAGTGTTCGCCTCGCCTCCAGACCTCAGACCGCGATTTTGAGCAAGTATGCGCAATGTATGCTTACGTCATATAAGCTATTGCCTGTCAATCGATGAGAGGGAGAATTTCACAACTTATAACCTCTGAACTCAATAATGTTTTGTCCAGAACTGGTTGTTTCAAGTCTAACAGAAGAATCTGGTCATGTAACAAGACACGCGCTCCTACCAGGAAGGAGCAGAAGTTTCATAGATCACATGGCTTTTGCGTAAAGCTACTTATGGATTCCTGGATGTGGAAATGAAAGTGAGGTTATGGACGACTCGAATACAGACTCATTAAGGTCTGCAGAGGATACGGATGAAGAAGACGTTGAGAATGAGGGATCTGTTCGATTTGGAGAGGTGGATATATCGGAGGAAGCGGTATGCCTTAATTACTGTAAAAGGAATTTTTCCTAACTCTAGCTACTGCAGGTAAAAGCGCAATAGAATTTTACCGATCGACAGAAAAGGACTCTAGACCCTTATCAAGTATGGAAAGCAGATTTCGATCTCTCATGAACAAATACCACCTGAAAGATTTGAGAGAAATTGAGAAGAAGCGTGAGTAAATTAACTTGAAAGTAAGCAACAGTTTAGAACAGTTTCGTAATCGAAATATATCTGCAAAGGTCATCCGAGCCGATCGTATATCGAGCCTATGAGCTTTGGCATCAAAACTAAAGAAGGCTGTTGCGTCGAAATTTTGAATGGGCATCGCTCTCACAGAAAAAACACTGCACTGCACTAAAAATGATTATGGATGAGGCCGTTATTCCAAATTCAAGGCAAGCCATCGGTAGCTACAAGAGTTCAAGAAAAGGAATGACTTAGCTTCAAGACGAATCACAACTTTTACATCTAATAGGTTGTCAAGAAAATAATGTCGGTTTTTATTTGCTTGCTTCAACAAAGCAAACAGACTCAACCCAACAAAGTATAAGGGGTCCTTGAAAGTCCTTTTATCTTGAAATCTGGGCATTTGAAAGTGTATTACTATAAATAAATAAAGTGTAAATAAATAATAAAGGCAATAAAGTGTATTACTATAAAAAACCTGTACGGCACAGAACAAATACTGAAGTTATAAGGGATACTGTTCGATAGAGCAAAGCTAGCTCTACAAGACGGCATTTATGATTTTGCGCCATGCTCAATCCACGGAGAGTTCGAACTCAAAATCTAAGGATTTTCAAATGCCCAAAAAATTGAAAAAAAAAGATCTTCGTCCAAACAATTTCTATGGACCTCCCACTCGCTCACGTCAATACTTTCGATATCTGATATCCATATGTGCAATTGCTGTATTTTTTTCCTTGACTAGAAACTGAAAAAAGGAAATTTCCCTGATTTTCTCAGAGCCATGCTGAGCCGTTTTGCATATGTAGTTCTATACTATCAGCCTCGGTAAGTATAACTGTAGATTTTCAGCCCATTCCAAGCTGTAGTTTTCGAAAAATAACGAATTCGGATTTTTTCGTTTCAGTTTTAGTGCTAACATTTCTCGAAAAGTACCGCTCGAAATAGGCTGAAAACCTACAGTTATATCTACCTAGGCTTGTAGTATAGAACACATACGCAAAAACGGCTCAGCATTGCTTTGAGAAAATCAGGGAAATTTTCGTTTTTTCAGTTTCTAGTCAAAGAAAAAATACAGCAATCGCACATGTGGATATCAGATATCGAAAGTATTGACGTGAGCGAGTGGGAGGTCCGTAGAAATTGTTTGGACAAAGATCTGATTTTTTTCGATTTTTTGAGCATTTGGAAATCTTTAGATTTTGAGTTCGAACTCTCCGTGGATTGAGCTTGGCGCAAAATCATGAATGCCAACTTGTAGAGCTAGCTTTGCTCTATCGAACAGTATGCATATTTTGTGTTGGGTTAAATCTGGTTGCTTTGTTAAAGCAAGCAAATAAAAAACGACATTATTTTCTTGACAACCTAATAGAAGAAGTTTCTTAAAAATGGTGCTACGATTTCCACAGGATTTTTTTCGTAGAGCGCAAGGCAAATTTCCGGATAGAGCCATTTTCAAGAAAAAAATTTGGAGATTCGGGCCCACACGTCTCACATAATGAACAAACGTTGCTGCTGAGTGGGTCCTATCGTGTCTGGCCTCCGCGGACTCAACGTCCATACTTTTGTTGGTCGACTCTTAGGGCCGCATGCACTAACATCCCCGCGGGGAGGGGATCGCAGCTTAAAAAAAAGCTTTATATTTCGAAACTCCAGATACCTGGATTTCACGTGTGTACCTGTCCGTAAGTATTCCTACTACCCTTCACTATGAACACGTTGAAGAGGAGCGAGAAGCTGTGCGAACCGCATTTTCAGCTTTTGTATGATCCCTGATGATCCTTGGCGCTTTTCTTTAAAGTCATTTTTATCCGAAGTTAACGAAAAACCTTCAAAGTTGTACAGATTATCTAACCCGACAGTGCTAAGCATGTTGCTGATAAGAACAAATGATGTTTTGAAGTCATGAAATTTTCGATGATCCACAGATCGAAATTTGAGGTTTACCGAAAAATTCGACTTTTCAAAAACTCGTTCGTTCTCATCAGCAACATTCTTAGTACTGTTGTGTTAGATATTCAGTACAACCTTAAAAGGTTTTCGTAAACTTCGGAGAAAGAAAAATGACTTCAAAGAAAAGCGCCGGGGATCATTAGGGGTCATCCAAAAGCTGGAAAATGCGCTTCGTACAGCTTCTCGCTCCTGTTCAACATGTTTATAGTGAAGGGTAGTAGGAATACCTACGGATAGGTAACAGTGTGAAATCCAGGTATCTGGAGTTTCGAAATATAAAGCTTTCTTTTAAGCTGCGATCCCCTCCCCAGCGGGGAGGTTGGTGCATGCGGCCCTCAGAGTTCGTTCAAAGACCATAATACCATGTTGTTGCTCGTGGCAGAAAACAAGAACGTCAAATTTATGAACATTCCACTAGAAACCACCTCCTAGTCCAACCGTTGGACGCGTTTTTTTTCCATTCAAGGCAGTGTATAAAAGATTTACTTCCTGCATGTGATAGCCGATGATTTAGAATTCCTTGTACACAGTCGAGATTCCATTTTACGCCTTCTTTCTGATATGTTTTTAATTGTGTAGGAAGATTCCGAAATTTCCTTGTCTATCCTTGGTACGATGCAGGGCATTTGGATGTACATCCTGATCAATTTGAAGTCCGTGCAATACTGCTTTGCGCGTGATTTGTTAGGATAGTGTGAGAAAGAGAATTGTAACGAAATGTTTTTTATACGCTGCGCTCATTGCCAGCATCTTCTCTGTTTCAGTCAATTTGTTATTGAGCATCACATTTGCGCATAGCAAAGATTTTTTTCCCTTTTTTTATTGTTTGACCTAATAAAGTGTTTTAATTTTGAAAAGAAGTCTTCTTTAATCCATTTTTAATAGAAAGGCCATGAATTAATGGATGAAATGTTGAGTACGAAAACAGACTTTATGTACATCAGCAGAAAGATTGCTCTCAAGAGGACTCGGACCCAAAAGACCATCGGCTTTGCAGTTTAGCACATCAGGGCCTTGCACAAGGTTAGCAAAAAGGGTTTTTGAAAACGAATTCTCTTTCTGACCCCAAAATTTTTTACGAACACTCCTTTGACCCAAAAACTGATCCCAGTGATTGCGCAAACACTTTACCCATAGAACAAGTTTTATGGAAGCAAAAAACAAAAACAATTCATTCATGACAATAGCAGAAAAACAAATGATCGTACTAGAGATCTCTGCAATGGGGTCATTTGAAAAATTGGCACCGGCAGTATGTGATGTCATTAAAGTGCACCGTTGTTCATTTTTCAAAACCGGGACTTCTTCAAGCCTAACTCAAGTCAGTTATCGATGACCTTACTGTCAAAACAACAATCAAATCGCTACTTTTTGCAAATAAAGCAAATCATGAAAGTAAAGAAAGATGCACTTTTATTTATAAAATAAGAAAAAGGAAGGGAAAAAGGTGGGAACAGAGTAAAAAACCGTAAGTGCAAGCTAGAGTAAGTGACGAAATATCAAAAAACACCATTCATAGGATCCAGCGACGCCGTTATCGATTGAAGCGCGTTTTCTCCTCCTTAAAGGCAGGTTCTCACCAAAGTTGAGGCCGCGCGGATCTTCACATATTCTATTATAGGGACCTCTAAATAGGCCATTGCAACAAGTTCGACTTAGTTTGACCCCTCCACGATGAGAACAATTCGCTCAAAGTGGTACGCAGAGAGCGACTTGGTACGCGCGGACGACTCCTTCGGTCTCCCCCCGTACGCGTTTGAACATGTTCCTCCACTTGGCATCTACCTCCCCTCTGTTACTGCCACTGTGGCTGAGGCTGAGGTTGGGAGGTACAACTCGTCCACCTTGCTTCCACGGGGCCTCCAGAAAACGGGATTTTTGGAAACTTTGTGCGATGTTAAGCCCATACAATGCTAGACAGGGTCCAACAGGCTTGCAAAATGCAAAAATCTCGGCAACTAAAATTTGGTGAGACACTGTCTTTAAGGAACTGGGCTGCTGAAGGTATTTTTGGCTCTAGCAATGAGGAGAGGGGAAGTTCAAAACCAAAATGTTAATCTTATATATAAAGCTGAATGCCTGTTTGTCTGTCTGTATGTCTGTCTGTATGTCTGTATGTCTGTCTGTGTGTACGTATGTTCCGAATACAAAATTCCATTTCTAAACCGATCCGGACCAAACTTGGCACACATACACTTCGGGCCCCGGCGGGTGTCATAGGCTACTTTTGGCCATTGATCGATATCGATTTTATCGATTTTTTTGCAAAATTTGAGCTAGGGAGCTGGGAGTTGGCACAGGCTCAGACAATCGCCGGGGGCAGGCGGTCCGCAAACTCGCGTTTTTCTGCAGGCGCTCAGCAGAATTTTGGGGCGTGGCCAAACCTTCAGCGGGCGGCACTTCCTTTACCGTCTAATGTTCTGCCAGCGGGCAGCAACACAGAATTTTCTGCAGGCGCTCGTCAAATAATCTCTTTCAGCGAGCGCTGGTCAAATTTTCAGCTGGCGCTCGGACGGTTTTTAAGCAGTTTCGGGTGTACGCCGAGCAAAGGTGAGACTCTACATGGCAGAGGAGTCATCGATGGTTTAATTACTCAAGTTTGAGGTACTTTCTCCCAGCGGAAAGTACCTGGGGGCTGCGCGGTCCTCCATAAAGGACCATGCGGCCCTCGAAAATTTTGCATATTCTCGCGGAAAGTCCGCGAGAATGCGGCCACTGCGCCGCAACTAATCTGCAAGGAAACCGCAATTGTTCTTCAAGCATTCGTTCAAAATTTCGCTAAAAATCTTCCAAATATCTGCAAGCGGACCGCAAAAAATCAGCGAACTATTGTTCCGATGCCCGCTTGCCCGAAAATGGCAGGCCGCCTGCACCCGGCGATTATCTGAGGGGGGGGGGGTAATCGAGCATGCTGATCACCCCCGTGAGGGCTAGTTAACTTACCCGGCTCCGCCCGGCCCTGTCATTACAGGGTGGGGCAAAAGTCTGGGAGCCTACATTGCAGTGCTGTAAATCAAGAAACTACTGATGATCTTGACTCCAAATTTGTGCCACATATTGCTGCGATCATTCTTCACAAAACACACTTTGGCTGGCTGAAATTGCTTGCTATATGTTTTTGTAGGAGTTAGATTTATCAAACAAGTGCTCTGCAAAACGAGAAAATCGAAATTTTTGGTCTTCACAACTTACTTTGTAACTAACGATGCAGTGGGTATTCTAAAGCACTTCGATGCGTATAATGTAGAGGAGACTTTGCGCTATCAATTCTTAGCCTTTGCGTTTGTCAGATACTGTTCTTTTGAAAACGCAAAATAAAAATTTGCGAATACCAGCTGCGTGCCAGCGGCCATTTTTCTTTAGGATAAATTTTAAAACTATAGGGGCACAGCAGGCACTGAATTCTAGGCTATATTCTTTCCATGAGTCTTTTATGCAAGCGTATACTGGTGTTTGATCGATCAAGCAATTTCAATACGTTTCAGATTACAGTTCTTCGCTCCCGTTCGCACAATCGCATTCCAGTATAGAATACATTTGCCTTTAATTAAAATCCTAAAAATTTTTCCTAAACACTGCAAAAAAATTTCTTCGCAGTGCGTTGTAGCCAAAAGCTTGCTCTATCACACCGCATATTTGCCTGGTGAAATAAACAGTTATGGTAAAGGCGTGGGACGAATTTCATCACCACTGTCTGCGTGCCACGACAGTCGGACTCGCCAAGATTTCAAAGGGCTGCTTTGAAGCCAGAAGAGGCAATCTCAAAATTTGAAAGCAGCGCTGTATTAGTAAAGGTTCGGTTTATGTGTGCACCAAATTTTTTATTTCTAGGCACTTTCCTTCTGATTTTATCTGAAGAGGTACTAGGCTCCCAGACTTTTGCCCCACCCTGTATTATATTCGTAATCAGCATGCTCAATTACCCCCCTGTGCCAACTCCCAGCTTCGTAGCTCAAATTTTGCAAAAAATCGATAAAATCGATATCGATCGATAACAAAAAGTGGACTGTGACACTCGTCGGGGCCCGAAGTGTATGTGTGCCAAATTTGGTCCGGATCGGTTAAGAAATGGAATTTTCTATTCGGAACATACGGCGAAGCCGGGTAAGCCAGCTAGTATATACTAAGCTTTAGGTGTAAAGCAGATTTATCTGAAAATTTTGAAAAAGTATCGGAGTTAAAAGTTTTGCCAACTCAGGTTGTCACTAGGTTGTCAAATGACAACCTAATTTGGAAAAAAGTTGGGCACGCTCTTCATTCACATAAGTTTTTCATAATTTTCGATGATTTGTTCCATAGTCCTACTGCGCATATACATACCGGATCCCGCGCGATTTCGTCACCTCTGCGTTGCAAACGAGTCATTTTTCCATTTTCGAAAATTTTCAGAAAAAAGTTTGCCTCAACCTTTAGTCACATAACTTTTCTTTGAAACTCCTGAGTTAAGCCCTACAAGCCCGTGTGCATGTATGTACAAAGTTTTATTCCATGTCGTCATCTGTGCAATGCTGACGAGTCATTTGAATTGACATCTTTACTCACCAGTTATGCAAAATTTTTGAAAAAAGCGCCTATTACACCTTTTATTCACATAAGTTTTTCGTAATTTTTCAAACTTTGTTTACACTAGCCTCTCTTCGTTCGCTTACGAAATTTCGTGCCATGTAATTGTGCATGCTTTGAGAACTACTCACGCATGTTACAAGCAACGTCGTTTGAGTGACGTCGCGCGTGCGGCAATTAGCGACGACGCGATATGACGCGTGCGAAATCCAGTGTTTGCCTGTTGAAGCATATAACATGCTAAGATAAGCAGAGGGCATAAACTACCAATTTTTCCAGAGTTTCGCCCCCGGATCCCGCAAAAACGATTTTTTTGCGGGAAACGAACTCCAGCTTTTCATTTGCCAACCTCGTGCCGGGCCCTGTATCACACTATCCACTAGGCCAACGCTGTAGTCAGGTCTGGTGGCGAGGCTCGCACTTATCGGTCCGAGCGAGCTCGGGGCGAAAATACTCTCATAACTTTTCACCCAGGAACGCACAGCAGAAGCCACCGAGGAACTTATACTGAAGTAAATCTCGTTTCAAAAATCCACGGCCATCTGGTATCCTCCCCTTGTTAATAAAACCTCTTCCCAAGCCAAGTATGGCATTTCTTCGGGGCCAACTATGGCATTTCTTCTTCAAGCACAGTTTAGAAGAAAGTTTCATATCCTGCTGTTTGGCAGTCTGAAGTTGATGCGAACTTCTCTATTTTAAATGTTTATGATAGACTTCGATGAACGTAACAATTCGACTTCCTTTCAAAATATACCCACTTGATCCCCGGCGGCCAGCCGTCTTTTCTTTTGAGTCATTCTTTTTTACTGGACATTAAAACAGCTCAAGGATGACATAATTCAACTAAGCATGTCTTAGACCACGAGTCGAAATTTGGGGTATGTGTCTCAATATTTTGATAATTCGTTTCATAGAAAGTATGCTTTGTGGGGATCTTAGCTCAAAAGAAAGCTTCAATCTCCAACTTACGAATAACTGAATTTCACTTGTCCATCCTTTCCTTTTTTCCTTCTACACTTCACTACAAATATGTTAAACAGAAGCGCAGGAGTGTTGTATATACCGCGCTTTTTGGTTTTTCGTACGAACTTTTGGTGATATCCAGCGGCTAACCCATATAAGCGAGTAGACTTTCGAAAACATGAGATTTTCGGCAAACCCCAAGTTTTTACTTGTGGTTCATCGGATTTTTCATTAATCCGATACTTCGGCTGTTCTTATTAAATACATGCTTAGCATTTCTAGATTAGACAGATTAGGATTTCTACATTATAGGCAAAAGCAAGATCAATCGAGTACGCGGCAGAGGCAAGTAAACTAGACTGAAGAGGAGAAAAGATTTTTAAAACACTATTTTTGCCATATTTTCATTGAAAATATGATTCGACGACGTTGTCGCGGTGAAGGTGGAGATCGAGAGCTACAACATGACATACAGTTTGCTGAGATTGCAATCAATACAGCGGAGAAAAGAATACCTCAATTTCTCCATGCTCGAGTGTAATTCGGATCACCCCAGGGTAGATTACATAAGTAACGTGGTCTGTACCGCTATTTAGAAGCGGTTAGCATAGAGGGCTCAATGCTCCGTGTCATACGGTACAGACCGACATGCACAACCCCCCCCCCTTGTAAAATATTTACCTGATTAGCTCGTTTATGCTGCATCTTTCTCTCGTTTTCATTTGAATGTAAAAAGAAAAGAAAATTACCAATATCGGCGGTTGTGTAAGCATACGATGCTAGATCTATGAAGCATTGTTGGACGTCCATCGGGTAGTACTGGAAATATGTCTGCTATATCTTTACTGAAGTCTGTCCTATCTTCACGGAAGAGCTCATCACACTCATTATCAACATTTAGTTATTTTCAACACTTCGAAGGCCGCATGACTAAGCGACCGTATTCTTCACGGTATTGCAAAAATGATCTCTTGAATGTAGAATTGAGCAAAAGTTGAAATGGAATCTTATTAGCTTGCTTGGGCTTCTCCTTCCCGCTGATTTTGAAAATGCAGCCCATAGAGCACTAAAATGTTAAAAACGAGCTTTTCCAAAAGCCCGGATTCAAACTTGGACGCATGGCACAAGCGTCCAAGATTAAGATGCAGAGTTGTAATGGACACTACGTGACTGTGTGGATATGCGCACTTTGGTTTATCGATTGTGATCTACCCTAATAAAGGCGTTCCAGTCGCCTCTTCTGAAGTTTTTGCTCTAAAAGCAAATTGGTACAGTGCCATTTGAACAAGGGCATTAAAAGGAGGATTCATTGTAGTCTACTTTACGTACCTGGGACGCTGATTTCAACAGCTCACCCAGAAAGTTCTCTTTGATTTGACCTTTCAATACGAGACGCAGACTTTGTAATATTGACTTAACCTCGAATCTGTTTTTGCTGTCTGCAGAACGATCTCTTGGATAAGAGGAATTGGAAGAATAACTTTGTATCAGCAAAGCTATAGGTTATGCTGTTTGTTTAAACGTGAAATACACTACTTACGTGTAGTGTATTTCGCCTTTAAACAAGTTTGGAGCTACCCTTGCTTCAATTAGGCGACTGTAAGGCGAGGCTCCGTGACCTAATTACGACTAGAAAATGATCAAAGAGCATGCTCACGAGGAAAGCGCAATCCGCGTCGAGGCCGCGAAAAGTCGCCTCCTAGGCCATGGGCCGCGCCTTCCGGCCGGCAGCCAACCTGGTTGAAAAGGGTACATTTAGATCTTCAAATTATTCCTGTGCCACGCAGGTTTGGTAAGTGGTCTTTATTTCCATCTCACGCCCAACGTTTGGAACCTTCGTCTTCCCAGAAGCCTGAAAATAATACAAAGTGTCACCCAAGACTCAACGCCACCAAAAATCGCCTGTAAACGGGCTAGCTTTCGGCTTTCCCTCAGTCTTGCTAGTGTGGAAATTGTGCAGAGCAAGAACGACATACGGAAGACCACCGATATGCGAGAAGTCCGCACCGGAAGTGAATGGTCGCGGCGGACGAATGAGTCACTCTATAGATGCACATCGAATGTGATCTATAGCTGGCATAGCAATTCGAAAGGAAGAAACTCAGCAGTGATTGACAGACACTCGTTTTTGTTATTCATTGCTGGATTCTTCGCAGATATCCAGAACGCTTCCATTGCTTTCCTAGCCGAGGTCTCCCTTTCGTAAGATAGAATCTTACATTTGATGTTAAAATCGTCCCCTTTATGCGCCTCGCATCTGTGCTTTCCTAGCGGTGAAACTAAGCTTTGACGCCTTTTATCTGCTAAGGTTCCTTCAAGCGAATGCTGAGTGATCTTCCAGTTTCTCCGATATATGATGCTTTGCAGCTAAGACATTCAATTTGATACACCACTCCCGCTGTCGCGCAATGTCTTAATCTACCATATGGGCATACCATGCACTGCTCCGATGTACAACATTGGTCGTAGAGCCTGTTATGAACTAACTGCATTTTGATGTTGTTGTTCGGAATATTCACTAAAACGACATCATCTTGCAGTTGTGCTAGTTAAATGCATTTTTGGAATGCCGCGCTAATACTATCAGAAATGAATAGAAGACAAAGTGGGAGCTTATTGTTAAAACCGCATTGAAAGCTGTTGAATTTCCAGAAGTGTCGAGTGTGTGGTAAGGAATGATAACCATTGCTACAAGCAATATTAAGAGTTAACTTTCGTAATTCGCGTCATTCATGTTTTCCGAAACATATCTGCATTGCTGTTCTAAACATATTTGCAATTACAGCTCTTTTAGTAGATGCAGGATGTGCAGATTTTACATTCAAAAATATTCTCACAGCTTTCCTTGCGGTACCATTTAAAACTTGCGATACCGTTGGATAAACTTACTTCTGCGTTGAGGTAGGGGAGCCATCCGTCGTGTGATGTTGCGCGAGTGAGCTTTATGAACTGCGACTGACGATTGAGAAGTTTAAAACACTTGTACATTTCAGACTGTGTGGAGGTCACTATGCAGCAATCGTCGATGTAACGGCAGTACATAAGCGGCATGCGAGCTATTACAGGGCCCGGCACAGATCGTCTGGAAGCAGGCTGGACTTCTTTTTTGGAGCAAAAAGCGAAGGGGATATCGTTTCTGACGAGTCGCGGCCGAGCACAAAGAATAAGCGCTATTTAGTCAAAAACAAGCTTTTCGGACAGGTTATCGCACGATTGACATGCTCTATCGTGAATGACGAAAAGTGCGCGCGATTTGAAAACAAGGCTAAAACGAACATATTGCTTGTTTACAGCGCACACAGAATCATATGACACCAAAACTGAACTATACTTAGAAAATTATTTGCGGAAGAATTATGTAGAAAGGTTTGAAAACTTATGTGAATTAATACGTTTTTCAAAATTAGATCGTCTTCAGACGGCCATCACACGATCTGAGATCGTCTGATGCATGTATTTTCGTCGCTTCACATGGAAGGATGCCCCGGACAAGATTTTATCCCTGAGCATAGTAACATTTTCACATCACCCCATTCCGTCGTTTTTTATCCTCTTTTTTTCGAAAATCGCCTTATTATTGGGTCATTTCAAAAGTTCGTTCCCATTGTTCCTCTAAAAAATCGTAACTCTCTGCTATCTGCCTAGATTTGCCTGGAATAATTTTTCCTAGAATGAAGAGATCATGTAGTTTCTGACAATGGCTTAAATTCGTTCTACTAAGAGCAAGTTGCAGAGTTAAAAATGCAAAAAGAAGACCACTCAAATTTTGGTAATTTCAAAAAAGCTCACCAAAAATCTTGAAATGTTACGAAAAATACCGAAACAAACACAAACATATGTTTTATGTTCTCGTCTTTCTAGCTAGGCAAACTCCTTCTTGAACGACTGTTCTTATGAAAAGTAATGATTTTTAGGAATTTGCTATATGTTTCCATGAAAAACAAAATTGCTCTTCCTTAGCAAAAAAATCCCTTAGCTAGAAAGAGAGGGTCAAAAACCCCTGTTTTTCTTGGCTTTCTTGCCTTGTTGTGACGTTTTTGGGCTTTTTTGGGCATGCTCAAAAATTGCAAAACTGGAGTAATTCTCTTTATTGGCTTAAAATTTTCGATCTTTTTCGTTTCAATTCGTGGAAAGGCACTATAGTAAAGAGCATAATTTTTTCTATCAAACAATAACACTTTCGGAATTTTTCCAGCTGATCCAGCCGATTTCCAATTGATCCAGCTTAAACAAATGCCAATCTTGAGTAAATTTATCCAACTGCTTCTAACTCTCGAACTTTCTCACGCCATTGGCAAAGATACTATTGTAAAGAGAAAGGTTTCTTCTTTCAAACAAAAACTAAGACGAGAAATTCCAACGAGAAGGAAGAAAGTTATGATTTTTTGAAAAACTGAACGAACTTTTGAAATAACCTAATAGATATCGCGCCCCAGCGTCAACTTTTCTGCCTCCTCCCTTTTTAATTTTCACTTTCAGTTCTAGCTCTTTTCAGTATTTGATGATTTCTCCCATTCTTCTTTCTTCTCCTTCTTCTTTCCTCAGCTCGTGATCTATTTTGATCTTCTGTGACCATGTAGGGCTTTATGAAGCCAACTGTGGATTTTGTGGTTTTCCTTTAAGAGTTCGACCTGAAATCGCGAGATTCTCAGCTCGCAGCAGGTAAATGGTTTTGTTAAGAATAAGTGAGTGTGCAAGGATCCATCAACAATCGGAGGGGGGGGGGGGGGTAAAGCAAGGGAGACTCAAAGGAGACTTCGTTAAATTTTCGAAACTCAAGGGGGACTTCGTTTTCATGAAGCCTAGAAACGGACTCGTGCCGGGCCCTAAGCTATTAACTCCTCGATTTTGCTCTTAGAGCAAATTGCGTAAAAAAGATCATTCTGTACATTCGCGCAAAGCTAAGTCACAAAATGATGATTATAATAATAATAATAATAATTATAATTACAGAATGATCAACGAGTGTCTGTCAATCACTGTTGAGTTCCTTCCTTTCAAATCGCTATGCCAGCTATAGATCACATTCGATGTGCATTTATAGAGTGACTCATTCGTCCGCCGCGACCATTCACTTCCTGTGCGGACTTCTCGCATATCGGTGGTCTTCCGTACGTCATTCTTGCTCTGCATGATTTCCACACTAGCAAGACCGAGGGAAAGCCGAAAACTAGCTCGTTTGGAGGCGATCTTTGGTGGCTTTGAGTCTTAGGTAACATTGAACCATTTTCAGGCCTCTAACAAGGGAAGTGTCACAAGTCGCAGTGGCCGTTTGAGATGGGATGGGTAGTGTGACACGTCACTCGGAAGGGCATTTCCAAAACCACCCTCGCTAGCTGCAGAACAACTCTGGGTGGGGAGCTACGGGCGTTTTTCCGCACGAAACTCAGCGCGCCTTGCTTGAATATGATTGCCACCCTTAGCTAAACGTACCAGGTGGCGCAGTGGCAAGTGTGCTAACTCTGTGCGGATGTGTGGAGGTTCGAGTTTTCTGTTGCACGACTCTTTTGCAATTTATATATAAACTCTTAAAATGTGTACATTAGTGACCAAAACGTGTTCTATCCCTTTACTGGTGCTTAAAAGCAAAAAAAGTATGCCATGAAATCTTTATTTAAAAGGAATCCAAATAGAGTGAAAATATGCTAAAAGCACAAGAAACGTGCCTAAATGAAAAATTTGAACAAAATGAGCGTCAAACGTACTGGGCGCGTAACCTCGGCGATTGCGAAAAACAATTGCGAAAAACTTTTCTGCTTCGAGCATCAAATTGTGACAGGAAATCTTGCTAATAGTTAAGAACGCATTTTTGTCGCTTT